TTAAGAAGATACGTAGGTCCCAGATATCAAAACTGCCTTCTATACACACACAAGCTATGGGAATTGCGTTCGGTGTTTATTGTCCGATCATTTTGCAATTTCAGATCAGCGCATAAATATGACATACAAAAGTGTGTAAAGGCCGATGCCCATATAGACTATACCTCTAAAAATGTGTAGGGGTAGGGTTTCCAAAAAAGTTACTCCAAGGTACTCTACATCCTCTATAAGCCGCTAAAGGCTACAGGGTATATCGATTTCTCAGAAACGAAACAGAATATCGCTGATCACCCTTCTGCCTGTTGCAGAAGGACAGACTATATTAAGAGGCTGATAACATGCATTAAGTATTTGTCTTCTTTAATTCGTCGGATAATTGGCTAGTTACAGCTCGTAACTAGGGCAGCAATGCTTGAATTTGATTGCTCCGCTTCTTTTAGCAAGCAGCAAAGTATGCAACGAGGAGGCTTAGAGCAACGCTTCTGTGGAGCGCAGTCATTTAATTCAGCATTTAATATTATTGGGTGATTTTCTTTTCAAGCATGTTGAATTGTTTGCTCGATTTTGTCTGATTGAAATCTCGTATACGAGCAGCTGGCAAATTAAGTATTCGAATTGATTGATTTTGATTTTGAATTATTGTGCAGTTTTATTAGGTTGAGAATTTCTTTGTTTTGTGTGCCCCATAGAATACGTACTTTGAGTCGAGTTTAGTTCATTTCAATTAGTGTGGAAACTAACTGCACTTTCAATTATGGGTCTTCTTTTGCCAGCTGCTGATTTTGCTCTTTGTTTTGGGCCTTGGGGGCTGCCTTTTGTCACACACACACACACACACACACACACAGAGATGGAGCCCACCCCAACCTATTGCACATCTGCTGCCCTGCACATTCAAGTTTTTAATTAACTGCCTTACAAAGATTTTCGGGAATTTGTCCGGGGGTTTTTCGTCTTTTTTCTTTTATTTTTGTTTTTTTTTTTTCTTGTTGGGGTAGTCAACTAAATTGTGTGCCCGGGGCGCCTTGCCACGAATTGAAATTCCCTTGTTTGCTGTCTGGAATTTAATATGCCAGAATTGCAGGGTCATATCCGGGGCATGCCCAACCAGGCCCTACCCCGACCCTGACTCCGACACCGACTCGAACTGCCCTCGCGACATTCGCTAATTAAACTTTTTTTTGTTAAACGCTTTAAACATATGGCGCCTGCCAATACCCTACAAAAAGGAGCCGAACCGCTCCCGCCTCCGCCCCCGCCGCGACTCCGCCGGTAATGACAAATGGTTGTCAGTTTGTGAGCTGCCGCCAGCATTGCAGCTGCTGCGCCAGTTGCCATTTCACAATTGGAGGCAGCGCAAAGGACGCCTCGCCCCGACCCGACCCGACCCGACCCCGAGCCCAAACCCGAGCCTGTCCCTCCAAAAACAGGGGGAGAAAAAAACTAGAAAATTAAATCGAGTAGCGTCAGGAAAAACTAAAGCCAAACTTTATTTTTTGCCCACCTATATAGAGCATTGCAAAAAGTCATGTTGGCGCACGGCATGGATGAGGATGAGGTTGAGGGGTGTGCTGGTAGAGGGGCGGGGGCTTGGTGGAAAGTAATAAATGAAGTTGGCAGCTGTTTGAGGGATTTGAGTGCAACGGCGGGGGGGTGCTCGTTGTGCAATTAACTGTAAAAATGCTGTCACAATATTTAAAACTTTTAATTGTTTGCTCAATTGCAACGGCAACTGCAACAATGTGGCGCCACTTGGCGTTGTGCAACACTTACGCTTTAAGCAACAAACTTAAAGGGCAAGCGCTTCGCCCGATGCCCGATGCCCGACGCCTGTCCGCATCCATATCCGCATCCGCATCCGCATTCGTATGCACATTCGCACATTCTCGTTCACATTCGCATTCGTGTTCTCTTTGTCATCAACAGTCGCAGTTGTCGTTTCATGTTGTTTCGTTTCGTCCCGTCCCGTCTCGTCTCGTCTCGTCTCGTTTCCTAACGGTTCGCGTTTCGATTTCGTTTCGTTGTTGTTTTTTTTTAATTTTTTTTATTTTTGCAAAAATAATTTAACATGAATATATCGCATTTCATGGAGTCATACATCACACGACGGCAGGCAACATGCGGCTGCCGCTGTGGGCGTCGGGGCGTGCCTGCTGCAGGGGACGCAGCCGACGCCGGGGACGAGGGCAGCAGCACGCGGCAAGTGACAGCACTAACATAAACCACAATAATATCCAAAGTCATGAAGAAAGTAACCAAGTGTGAATTTTCGGTTTATGCCTCGCGAAACAGAGCGGCCGGCAGCCCGCGTCGCTGTGCACCCTACAGCATTTAGGCACAGTCAATTGCATTCTGTAATGCAATAACAGCAACAGCAGACAAGTTCTTCAGCTTGAACACGACTATTTTAATTTACAGCGCGAAAGCTCAGCTCTGATTCGCTTTCTCCCATTGAGTTTGCCTAAGCTGCTGTAACGCAAGGTCTCCAGCAAGCGCAGCCTTGATGTAAGCTTTTAAAGCTTTTTTGCCTAGGTCAGAGATTTGCGAACTGTTGACGCTCCTCTCTTTTTCATTGAGCTGCTATAGTTCGGAGCGCAGCTTTATTGTAAGTCTTCAAAGCTCTCTCCCGCTTAGCCCATCAAATCGCGTCTCTTCTTTTCGGTGGAAATGCAGCGAAATATTTGTGCATGTAAGGCCGAAGATCAACACATTGCGATTCTTCTCGCAGAGCTTCGCTCGCAAACTATATTTACGTTCAAATTGTATTTGGCTTTGCAATGCTTTTCTCAATTGTAGCGCATTACCCGATTCCTACTAGCCGGTCCGCAGCTGTACCCTGTACCCTGCCTCTGTGCTGTTGTGTTGTGGCCTGTGTCCGGACTCGCTGGCGCTGGGCGCCCCTAGCAGTTGTTTTAGTTTGAGCTTCCGTTTCGCGGACAGTTTGCTTTGCTGCTTTTTATTCTTGTGTGATTCTTTGACTGCACACACAGACACACACAGAGAGACACAGACGCAGAGTGTGCAGCAGAAAAAATTGTTGCAACAAAACATTTACGACGTCATCGTTTCACAATTTTCGTCCAGTTTTGTTTTGTATCTTAAAATAAAAATTTGTTGTTGTTGCCGCCCCTGTGCTCGCACTCCCCCAGCGTTGCAAATATGTGAGAGCGGCACGAACAAAAGGAAAACCCGGCAGCACAGAGCGAGGGAGAGAAAAAGTGTAAAAAGTAAGGAAGGACCTCGTGTCATTTATCATGCATTTCCACTTTTGGCTTCCGTCGGCCGGGACATGGCCCAACACAGACGAATGCACGATTCGGACGCAGAGACAAGCGGATGGACAACTGAGAGTCGAGTGCGAGTGGCAGGCAGCAGGAACAGCAGGAGCGGGACGCTGGCTGCTGAGCCGAAGCATGACCAGGAGCAGCTCAAATGATGTGTGCGCTGCTTTTGCCGCAAGCCAAAAAAAAAAAAAAAACACACACAAGAATACAAAAGCACAAAATAAACGAAAACATACAAAACACATTGCAGTCTCAGTTGTGTGTGTGTGTGTGTGTGTGTGTGTGTGTGTGTCGGTGTCCTTTTTTTTTGGCCAGTTTAATGCCTCCAAATTCCAGCTGCAACTCTGGCGGTGCGGCTCGTCAGAGTTGCGGCTCTCAAACTCTGGAATTCGTGTACATTTTATGGAGCCGCATCGGCGCCGCATTCTCTGGGACAAATGAAGCGGACCACAAATCATCGGCAGATGCCCAATTTATGCGTTTTCATTTGGCTAACAATTCGCTTTTCATTTTCATATCCTGTGCAATTTCCATACCTCCCCACCCCCCCCCCCCCCCCCCCCCCCCCATAATCCAACAAAATTGAACGAAAAACCCAAAGGAATTCTGTACAAAAAATTTCCTTTAAAGTCGGCAAAAGATGTATCTGTAGTTGGACTTGCGAGAATTGCAGTTATATTCATCAATCAGCTTTTCCCCGTGACCAAGAAAACGTCGCAGATTTCGATTAATTGATACGAATTTCATCTTCACAAAACATTTGCTCATGCTTCTCCGTTTTTAAGAACTTTCCATTCAACCATCTTGTAGATATTTCCTCTGGAAGTGAAACGAAATCATGAAAAGTTTTTCAAGTTATTTGCATTTTTGTTTTTAATTTTTATTGCCAATCAATTTGTTTAGGTGACTCAACCAGAAACTCTGTTCTATCCAAATAATAACAGCAAAAGGTGCTCTGGTCGGGAGTGCTCGATAAGCAGATACCCTCAATCCAGTGCTGAGCTCTTCTATACACAGTCCTTAAACTCTTTGCACTCTGTGGAAAGTGCATCCTTGATTAACTCCTAACTCCTAGTTCCAGAATAGCCTGACCAGAATATGCATAATGCTCTTAACCCGTTAAGGCAAGTCTTATGAGCTCTATGCCGAAGTCGTCAGAGGTAATCATTGGCTTGATATGTATCTTGGTTTGCTTACCAATGTATTTTTTAAACATCGAATATTTGTGTGAGTCGTGGCCCCTGGACACCTAAAACAACAAATGTGGTTGGCGCAGATGCTGCTACATTGACTGCAGTCAGGGGCGGAGGCGGAAGCGGTGGCGGGACGGGTGTGGGCGTGTCATATGCGGCAAGCAGAGTTATTTAAAGTAAAGTCAAGTCGGGGCAAAACTGCGCCAAACAAATGCGACGCCACTTGGTCTGCGTCTGCTGCCTGTTGTCTGTGTCTGCCCCGGCCCCTGCCCCTTCCCCTGCCCCTGCCCCTCCGTCTACCCCAACGTCCAACTGTGCGCCTGTAACTGCGTTGTGACGCAAACAACCGCAATGAACCTGAGCCCAGCTGTCAATGTGATAAATAAAGTTGGCCTGGCACTGGGCTCTGCGGCTACCTAAGTGTGTATGTACATAGGTTCGGGCTATCCTGCTTGGATAAATGGGATGAAGACGTGTTTATGAATCTGCCGCCAACTAGCTAACAATCAGTTTCCTCTCTTTGCAGCAACAAGATCCGAGCAGCTGAAGCAAATCCAAGGATCTGGGAGAGATCATACATAGAAGCACGCTTGCAATAATACCGAAAATGGGCGTGGCACGCCTTACCCTAATGCTGCTGGTAGCAGCAATGCTGCAGCTGAACCATGTGGATGGCTATTCCAGTACGTATACGTAATATTGAGTTGAAAACCTTTGTTTTTTGTTGTCCTCGTTGCTATCTGTGTCACTCCTCGATCATCTTTCTACTCCCTCATCTCCTGCTGTTACTCCTTCCACGATCTTTGACCTACTAACCCTACTTCTCCCCCTTCATTTTTCGAAGTGTCTTTCTTTATTCCAAACCCTCTCTTATAACCGTCTTTTCGTAATGTACAAATTAACATGCATTCATTGTCATCATCATCGTCATCTTCATTATCATCACGATCAACATGATTTCCATCGTTGCGCGACCACGTTTTATCTTATAATTTGTATTATTTTAACTTTTTTCCCCTCTCGAAACCAAACACTCAACAAACTGCTCCCAACACCAACACCAATACGACCCCGACTCCGACTCCGACTCCGGTTCCGACTCCGGTTCCGTCTCCGTTTCTGTCTTCGGTTCCGTTTTCGTTTAACTACGTATCCACACTGTGAAGAGTATGGACGCGGCTGTGCCGACATTGGTTGCCTACCCACTGAGGAGTGCGTCATCACCAGCGATTCGTGCAGCTATAATCAGCGCGATGGCAAGGACTGCGGCAATTATCCGACCTGCAAGCGCAAGAGCGGCTCGAGCACCAACCAGGCAAATCCCTCCTCCTCGTCGTCGTCAGTTAATCCGTCAGGTATTTATTTTATTTGTTTTGCTTCTATTATGTTTATTCTTTGTTTCTTTGAGATATTATTTTTGTATGCATTATTCACTTGAAATTTTGGGTTCGGGCGGGCTGAAGCTTGGCGAGCTTTTACCAAATTGACGGCGGCAACATCGTCGTAGATGCACAGATCGACAGACGTACAGACGGATAGAGAAACGTACGAATGCATATTTGTATATAAGAGGTGCCCATTGATAAATGTTACTTATCATTTGCTTTATTTTCAATGTTTCTTTTGTATATAACCACCTACTTACAAGTACTACATACATATATACATATAAATGAAGAGATTTACCCAATACTCTCTCACACACGCACACACGCACACACACACACACACAAATGCTACGCTCTCTCTTTTGTCTTACCCATATAAATGGAGTTTTGTGTTTTTTGTTTCATTCCACTTGCACTTTCGCCCGCTCATTCATTGCCTCATTTTACAACACTGAGCTTTGGCTGGTGCACATCACAAATACATACATACATACACACAAGCATATGCATCGCAGTTACGCTCATTTGCTTCTGCCTGCTGCTCTCTTTCGCAAACACATACACACACACACACACGCTCACATGTACATCCACTGCTGCTGCTAAAGCTCAAGCTCCAAGCTCTGGCAAGAGTACACATCATATGGAGTGAGAGCGAAAGCGAGAGAGCTTGAGCCTGATCGCTCGCTTACTCGCATGCAGCAGCAGCAGCAGCAGCAGCAGCTTGTGGATCGTTCAGCGCTGATTAACCAATTGTATCGCATTTTCTCTCTCATTCTTTTACACTGCTCTCGCTCGTCGTGGCACTGGCAACGGCTTACTAACAGGAACCAGCCTAAATACGGGGCCGGAGAATAACATATTTGCGCCGGCCTCATCGAATCCCACACTTAACACATACACCTATTTTAATCACAATAACAATAATAACAACCAGAATGGTGGGCATCAAAATGGCAACCAGCAGCCGTTGGGCGGCCAGGGCGGCGCACAAAATGGCGGCCAGGGTGGCAACCAAAATGCCGCCAGTGCTCAGGGTTCGAATGGGGCTGCGGGTGCCTCGTCCACCGGAATCGATCAGCATTATGTGTTCGGGGCCAAGCATCATATGCCCATAATACCCAATATGCCAATCTTTCCCTACAATTCGCCAACGCAAGCGCCATCATTTCAACAGTTTCCCCAACCCAATCATCCAGGTAGCGTGCTCAATCCTGGCTATCCCATGCATGGCCTGCAGCCGGTGAACCCCTACAATCCACCGTTCGTATTTGGCCAGCTGCCGTTCTATTCGGGACCGGCCGGCACTGGCGGACCGCCCGGCGGCGGCGCCGGCGTCGGCATGCCCAGCTCCAGCATAGGCATCCTCGGAGGCGGCGGCGGCGGTCTGGCGCCATATGGAAGCAATTATCAGGGCTATCAAACACATCATCAGAATGCGAACATGTACAACAAGCCGCCGCCACAGTATCAGAACCAGAACCAACAGAATCCCTACAATCGCCAGACCCAAGCACATCCTTCGGCAGCGGAGCGACGCGTCAATTCCAGCGCTCCGCTCATCGGTCTACTCGCAGTCCTGTTGTTGCTGCTGGCTTACGTAGGCAGCGACAGTGCCAGCACGTAATAAGATGCAGCAGTTGCTCTCCCTCCACTGATACCCTTCACTCTTGATCCTGCAACCCGACGACGACGACGATTACGATTAACCATGTGCAAATCCTTTGCTTGCTTCGTTTCTTTCAATTTCCCCCCAATTTTCGTTTATTATTTTCACTGGTTTTTGGGCCCTAGATTAAGACACTTAAAGCGGGCTTCTACGAAAGCCACACCAACAGCAAAAGCAACAGCAACAGCAACAACAACATTTCTGACAGGCAACACCTATGGAAACAACAACAAAGCGTTAAATAATTGGTTACAAGTCATATTTAAGTAAAACCCACAAGCAGGATAATCTTTTGCATATAGACAAAGCATAAGACACGCCCACAATATTATTGAAGCTATTTCTTTTCTATACATTCTCAGATTACAGCATGCAGCACGCCCCCGAGCGTATACGTAATATTCAAATAATATTGTGCGTGCGTGTGTGTGCGTGTGTGTGTGTGTGTGTTTGTGAGCTGATTTGTGTGTTGGTCTAACTTTCAGTTAGTAGCCGGTCTATGCGTAGTCCTGGCCCTGAAGGCACGTTGCACTACTCTCTGTTTTTTGCAGCTCAATTAAATTGGAATTTAATTTGGGGCTTAGAGCCAGTGCTTGCCACAGCCACAGACTTAGCTGCACGTCGGACACACACACACACACACACACACACAGACGCACACACGCACAGTTAATTTAATTTTTGTTGCTGCTGCGAATTTTGTGGCAACCATTTCCGGCTTTTATTTAGCTGTTGCAGCTGCAGTTGCAATTGTTGCTGTTGCAATTGCTGCTGATTGAAATAGTTGCAGCCCAGGCACAGTTGTTGTAGACACAAATACGCGTGTCAATCAAATTGCAAAATAAGCTGGTTTTGGGGCTGCAAGCAAATAATTACAATTAAAATAAAAAAAAAAAAAATCGAAATATAAATAAATAACGAATTCCGCTCTAGAAATCAAGAAATTTAGTAACAAACGCGGTTTACTTAAAGCAGCTAAAAAGTGCACAAAGTACACAGTTTAATGTAATTTTAAAACAATTTTTTTTTTGCAATTTCAAATAATAAGAGTAAGAAAAAATGCAAACCTTAAATCAAACGACAAGCGACACTTGAAAACTCGTACGGAGAGAGATACCAATCAAATTTGCAAGTAATTACAAATTAAGAAAAATATGAAAAGATAAAATAACTGCCAGGAAAATAACAATTACGAAGAAAATAGCTATACACATATACTTGAGAATCAATTAAATGCCAAAAGTCTCAATGAAATCCCGCAACAAGCTGACGAACTTGCAACAAATCGGACATCTTGAACAGATCAAACAGCTGCCGGGATTATAAAGTTTAAAAACTGAATCTCTTTGAATCAGACAGCAATCACTTTTAATTTCGAATCACAACAATATCAAAACGAATATTCATTTTAATGGATAAGCGAAACTAAACAGAAATTGTTTTCAAAAAATATTTCAATATTCTAATTTAAGGTTTTTGTATATCATTTATTCCGAACCACTTCTTATTAAAATTATGATTATTCAGTTTAATTTTTACGTATTTTATTATTTTTGTGAAACGAATTTATTTGCAAATAAATCAACTTAAAATAGAGCAAATCAAAAGTATATACGTATAAATATAATTACTCCGTCCGAACACGCATTCTGCGCATTGTTGATTTGATTTCTCATTTATTTATTTTAGCACACATCCACACACACACACGCACATTTATTTGAATGAAACTCTACTAAAAATGTCATGTAAACAGTATTAAAGAACTAACTAAAGCATTTGATGAAATATACTTAAACTTAAACCTGGCAAAAAAAAAAAAAAAAAAAAAAAACAGATACAAAAAACTTATAAAAATAACCATGTGAATGTGCATGCAAATATTAATTAAATATTGAAGATAAAGGTCTTGATATCTATTAGACATAGGGCATTATGTTAACGAAAGGGTTCTCAAGCTATTCAACTATTCCCATTTAAAAAGAGGCGTGAAAGGCATTTCTTACATACATATTGAGCCTCTCGAATAGTTGATAACTTGGCGTTGTACATAGCATTCCCATACTAACGCATAATATAAATATATTTAAAATATACACATAAATAATTAACTTAACCATACGGCAGAGAAGACTTATAAGAACTAAGCAACAAAAAAACAAAAAAGAAAAACAAATCAAACTCAAAGTTGTGTAGGATTTAAATGTTGCAATAACGACAACGATAACGATAACGTTTACGATTACGATAATTTTATCGATTGTAGGCATATGCATAATACGCTAATCAAAATGAAACGAGCAACTGTAATGAAACTAAGCTAAGCTAAGTTATTCAAAATGAGCCCATACCAAAAACCCTTTAACCACCACCCTGCCACCCTTCCCCTTCCACTCCACCACCACCACCACAAAGCCCACTCATAGGCTTGTTGTGCTTATATTTCATTTATGTTAAGTTTCCTGTTTATGCCATGTTTTTGCCCCGTTTCCCTAATGCTTTTTATGTTTCTGTTTCTTTGATTTTTTGTTTTTCATTTTTGTTGTCAATCGCTTTTGTGGCTAACACTTATTGTTTACTGCTGACGCGCTCTACTGCTGTGCTGCTACTGCGCTGCCTGCCTCGTGAAAAGTGAGCAGCGGCAACACCCACAACTCGTATGCACCGAATGCACCTAGCGCTCCGCTGCCGGAGGCAGATGGCAACCAGGGTGGCGCTGGAGGCGCAGCTGGTGGCTACAGTGGCGGCGGCGCCGGTGGATATGGTAATGGCTTCTCGGCTGGCGGTCATGGTCTCTATCCCTCGCTTCCTAACAACAACAACAACAACAATAACAATGGTGGTGCTGGCTACAATCCGTACGGCGGCTACAATCCCCAAGGTGGCTACAATCCGCAGGGCGGCTATCAGCCCGCTCCTGGTGGCTATCAACCAGCACCAGGTGGCTACCAGCCAGCTCCAGGTGGCTATCAGCCTGTGCCCGGCTATACTCCGCCCGCGCCTGGCTATGACAATGGCGGCGGCGGCGCCGCCCAGAAGCCCAAGGACAAGCAAGGCGGTGGCTTCTTCTCCAACTTCTTCTCCAACCCGGCGGTGAGTCAAGCGGTTTCCGGTATCATTGCAGGCCAAATAGCCAAGCAGCTGCAGGGAGGCGGCGCCAATGGCGGCGGTGGTGCCAACGGCGGAGGCAACAACGCTTATCAACCAAGCGGAGGCTATTCATCCGGAGGCGGCGGCGGCGGCGGTGGATCATCCGGCGGCTCATCTACTGGCAGCAATCTGCTCGGCGGCCTGCTTGGCTCCGTTCTCTCTGGAGGCGGTGCCAACAACAACAATGGCGGCGGTGGCGGCGCCAGCAGCTTCCTTGGCAGCCTACTTAGCGGCGGCGGCAGCAGCAACGGCGCTGCCAGCCATGGCGGCGGCAGCGGCCTTGGCGAGATCTTCAACTCGAAGAACTTTGGCGGTCTCTTCAGCGAGAACCCCTCTTCCCGTGGGGGCGGCGGCAGCAGTGATGGCTACTCCTCCGGCGGCGCCAAGAGCTACCCCACCCAGCCGCCCGGCAGCTACTATGGCAAATGAGGAGCGGGACAAAGGCATCAATTAACTCGGAGTAGAACAATCTTGTAATAGTTTCCACCAATTTCCCACTTTATAACTATGCTAAACATACTCGTGCATACCACACACATATATAATCAAATGGAGGGTTTTCAATGAACTAATAAGAGAACAATACTTACATGCAAAAACTAAAGCAAATACAAAAAAAAACAAATACATGCAGAAATGCAAATACAAATTCAAATACAAATACATATACATGTACTCATGCGTTGATACTGAATTACATAATACTAATAATACGGAAATCAAATACAGTTCATATTAAACATAAACTAAATATTATAAACCAAAATCAAAATTCAAACAAATTCTGGAAAACAGAAACAGAAACAGAAACAGAAACAAACAACCCGCAACAAAACAGAAAATCGATTTATTTGTAAATAGAAAGTCGTAAGAATTGAAAGCCAGACCACAAAATGCTTTTTCTCTTTTTGCATGGGATTAATTAAGATGTCGGCGGTAAGTAACGGCATTATAAATGAAAAAACACTCTACAATAAAAAAACAATCCTAATGGCTAAGCCTTATGCGGGTCGAAAGACAGCTCTAATACGCCCAAATGGGAAAAAATTTGAAAAATTGGTCAAAGTTTGTAAAAAAAAAACAAAAGAAAAACAAGCAATTTCAGCTGTAATTGTCAATTCTTCAAATTTGTTTATTTTTTTTTTATTATTCCCCGAGAAATTCACGGCTATTTTCGGCACGCAAAATATTAAATACCCTTGTAAAATTAACGTTAATCCCGATTTTGCTAAGACTTGAAATAATGTGATTTAAACAAGAACTTGTAGTTCACCGATTATTTTCCTGGCAGCTATATGATATACTTATATGTTGTTGTCCAATCCGGCGAGTTTCGACATAGCAGGACGACTCTATGCAAACGATGTGACAATAGCATTAAAATAACCGACTGTTTCTCTGCTTGTTGCATATTTCATATTTTGAGGGCATCCGATCAATTTTGCTGGGTATTAAGGGATGCATTCAAAGGCAGAGATATTTTTAATATGTGCATACTCTACTGTTACAGAATACATATCATTTGTGATTTATTCCATGGAAATGTGGCAAGATATTGACAAACTAGATAGGGCAGGCTCTCACAGGTTTCTTAGCTCGTTATGTTCGACATGCGGCAGACGAATATATGCTATCTAGATCGACTCGGACTGAACAAGAATATAAACGGCAAAAAGGTTCGGGGAAGTCTCCTTCTGCCGGATACGTACATTTGCACAGAACCAGCATACCCTGTTTGCAGCCGTTTTCAACGTATCCAGGCCACAAAATCAAATAAATATAAAATGGCTGAATGGCTGTTTACAATAGCTACATTCGTATGCCCACTATTTGCAGATAAAAATTGTCTGCAAATATAAACGAATCGCTCTTTTTACGTTGTATTTCAATCGACAAATTCAGTTCAGACAACTAAACAAAGTTGTGAATCGTTTCAGACTGTTTACAAAATTTGTCACTATTTATTGGTTGTTGACGAAACATAAGTATTTGTAAATAAATTGTTAGCTTTCAAGTGTTCGAATATCAAATCCCAAATATGTTTTTGCAAGTGTAACGAAAATTTAATTGCAGTACATAATAGCAAGGATTTTTCTTGTCTTGTCTTGATTGTCTTGTCAACTATCTGCCCATATTCATCCCAACTTCTATATAAAAATATGTTTTAAGTGCATCGAGTAAGGAGTAATCAACGGTTTGCACCCTGGTTAGACTTGCGATGAGAATCTTGAAGCTGAAGAATTATCGTTCGTTTATTAAACCTTTGACCCGCACTTGCCACCCAAGAACGTATCAAATATATTCTCACAAAGTTCTTCGAAAATGAAATGAAAATGAAATGTTTCGCGATTTATACACACATGCAGGTGGAATTTCCCGAAACTCCATCTAAACGTGCACCTTTATCACATAGACATTGAAAACCAATCAGTCAGTCAGTGAGTCACTCAGGACAACAATATATAGAGATAAATGATTACTTTGCTTTAAGACTTACACAAAATGTGAGACAAGCTAAAGCGTGAACAGAAATGAGGACTCATGAACGTGGAAAAAACATAATCCAGCTCGGATCCTAAAGCCTGTGAACAATTTGTTTATGGGCTTACAGTCATGACTGGCTTTATTGAATGTCTATATATGTATTTTTGCCAATGAATGTCTCATTGAGATGAGGTTTCTTATGTCGTGCCAGTCGTCAGAGTTCGTCAGTCGGCAAATAGGTATTAACAAGCGAAAATTCCACTAACAACTCGTATCGAGTGACAGATTAAATTGTTTGTGCTGTTCCCAGTCGGCATACGTGTGTGGCAAGCGAGATCCTCTTGAGTGCATCCGATCTGAGGCAACTACAGCGAACTGCATAGAGAATCAAGCAAGTGGATGTAGGCAACATTGTTGCTCCCTGCAGCATCCCCCGCCAACGCTTTTGAGGTCATACAATATATTATACGCACGCTAAGATCCTTTCTTCTCAGGAGCTGTGCAGCGGCAACGAGATGGCCATTTGGCTTTGGTTAACCGACAACCATTTTGTAATTTATTTAAGTAATAAAATAAATATA